GATTTGTACACATTTTTAGTTCATTTATTAAATTACACAACACCTAAACTTTTACAAACAATGCATGCATTCTTAGAAAAAGTGTTCCCAGATCTTACAAGTATCATCGTGATCTTAAAATATTACCATGATTTATTAATAGATATCTTGAAATATTTAACGTTGGTTTATTTTGAAATATCAAGTATATTTTAAACAGTCATTGAATTCTAGGAAAAAAAAATTGCGATTTATACAAGATCACATAATTTGACACTCATATCTTATCGTTCGTCAGAATGTACTTTCGAAAATAATTTACAAAAATGTCAAGCGAACACTCGTGGAGAAAGCAAACATATATTTTCTATGTTTAAATTTGTTGATAATTTTTTAACAAAAAATAAAAAATTTTTTTGTCCTCTTATTTTTAAACTACCGGATTGAAGTGAAACCGAATTATAATTTTAATTCCGATAGTACTGTAGAACAATGCAAAAATAAATATAAAACTTGCTCAACAGCCAAGCTTTTATAATGAATACATGCATTTTTCAGATAAAGTTCCCAGATAAGACAGCCCTTATTATTTAAAAACCGTTCTTAATACATATTTTCGAAACCATTAGAAAAAGTAAGGTTAAAAAAGCATACACATGGAAAAATTAATATTTAAACGTGGAAATAGCAAAAACGGCATCTTATCGAAATATTACCAACCATAATCGAAGTTATTGATTGATCAAAACACTTTATGTTGTTTGATTGTGGGATGAAGCACAGAGTGGCTGGAACTCAATTAATAACCTTCAAGTTTCAACCTGCATTCAAACAGGTTTTGGTGTTCTGTACACTCTCCCTCCTTACTCGTAATTTGTCAGATTTCAATTATCGTTATTGTCTTTTTTCTTTAAGTACTAATTTGCGATTCATAATATGCTTGTTTTTCCCCTTTATTTTTTATAAAGGGTTCTATTCTAAATATTAAGGTTTTTAAAAAAGTAAAGGTGGCAAGTATCGACCAACTAGTAAATTTTTATTTAGCAAAGCTTACGTAGAAGCGTAGATCATATCCTTTTTTGGGAAATTCTCTGTATTTTCGCTTAAAATAAGTGTTATGCAAACAAGTATAGTACTCTAAGAAAAAAAAGGATGGCCGAAGAATTTGGTAAAATGTATCGTGTTTCTGGTTCTATGCGTACGCCAAAAAGCTCGGAAATTTTTTACTTACGTGCTTTGGTAATGATTTTGGCAATATTAGCAATAAAATAACAATAAAATGTTTCAATAACATGTGATAAAAATTTGTAAATGAAGTAATATATTTGGTAATTTTATCACGATTCCATAAAGCATGGCATAAAAGGCTATTTATTAGGTTAAATTTCTTTTTCAGTTTTGTATTTTTTACTAAATGTGTGGTAATAAGAACTGAGATTATGAAAGTGAGCATTTTCGGTAAACCGTTATACAGTACTTCAATTTTATTAGATTTCTTTTCTCTGAGTAGTTTCGAATTCAAATATAGTCTGCAAAAATGTATTGTATTTTGTTTTATTTTTCTGAAACTAGTTTCTTATGCCAACTCTTCCCGAAAAGAAAAAAATAAATTATTGATTTTTATGGTTTCAGAAAAACTAAAATAGGAAATGCGAAACTGAAATCGAGTCTAAATAGAAACGTCTCCTATGACTTAACTATTCATGCCGAGGCAACGAAAGCTGACATTTTTTCCCTTTTTTATGAAATGTGGTGTAAGAATCAGTGTACAGATTACATTGTCACAAATTTATTTGTACAAAAAATTTACAGCAAGAAATTTGTATTAAATTGAAAGTGATAAAAATATTGCATTGTATAATATTACAATGTACATTATTGTAAGTTATTAAATTTAGTTTAAATAATAATAAAAATAATCGAAAAGCACGCACCCCCCAAGGAATTCACTGTTCTTTTTAAACTTTTACTATTTCTCGAAGCAATTTTTTAACCACTTACTTGGTTTATTATACTTTCTGAAAACTAGCTACATTAATTTTCACTCACACATTCATTTTCTATAGTTTATTATGAATAGAATTAGCTATTGCTTTGTTTCAAGAGTGACATTTTAAATAAAGAAATTCATTAGAATGTATCAATTACACTTTCACAATAACATAGAATCTCTCAATTTCAGAAAGAAGATTTGAATTCGAAGATTTACTCAGAAGATTTCTTTGCCATTAATTGATTTATTATGTGTTCTAAAAACTAACTACATTAATTTTCACTCACAAATTCATTTTCCATTGCTTATTATGTATAGAATCAATTATTGCTTTTGTTTCAGGGCTAACATTTTAAACAAAGAAATTCATTAGAATGTACCAATTTCTCTTTTAAAATAACATAAAATCTCTCCTTTCCAGAGAAAAAATTTTAGTGAGAAGTAATAAATGTAAAATTTATTTACCAAAAAACTGCTGTATAAATAATTACATTACTACTAGATCAAACATTACTACTAGACAGACTGAAATATTCGTATTTTAATCAGCATTATTTGCTAGTAGCATTTAAAAAAAATCATTTTTTATCTTTAGGTTGAATTGTTACGTAATTGTGATGAAATACGCAAAAAAAGTGAAATTAATTGCAAATGGATTAAATTTCGGCTCTGATTAAACTACCATATTTTCCACAAATTAACTGCTCCTACCCATATTTTAAAAGTCACCAATTTTAATACGTCAGATAAAAAGGTATGTTAATTCAGAAAAAGTATGTCTTTGCGTCTGAATTTCTAATTCCAAATTTAAATTTCAAAGTTTTTTTATTTTAATTTTTAGAGGGTGTAAATATTTTTTCATAGTTTCTAATTAAACAGAAATGGTTTTTAATTTCAATTTATCCTCAAGACTGACTTAAAATGTCTTATTCTGATGTAAGTTACCGTAGAGTTAATATCTGTATAACTTAGGTGTATCAGGAATTTATGAGCGACGAGGCGAGTTACAGTGAGGATCAGATAAAATATTTCCATAACTTAATATTAATTATAATAAATCCTGTATCATGGTGTAATAATTATAAATATTACATGGTAATTCCTCCAAATTTGATATTACAGTATATGATTTGTAAAAATATTTTCGTGCGTGTTAGCAACAAAAATCATGGCAACTACTTTACTCTAAAAGTGGTGTAGTGAAATAACAGATATAATTCTTGGTATAATTAATCACCAAAAACAGTTCTTGGTGTAAACGTTATACTATTTTTTTAAAACATTATTGTTATAATTGTATGTTCTCTTTAGAAAAAAAATCCTAAAATCATATAAACAAATTTTATTAAGTATATGAGATTAGTTCTAAACTTATGCTTCGTTTGAAATTATTTATTTACTCTATCTGACAGTCAACAGAGTTTTAAATTTCGAACGTGAATGTTTTTTGTCAAAAGCAGAGAAAGTTTGCATAAACGTAAGTTTCCTTAGCCAAGAAAATTCTAAAAAATTGCTTTTAATGTCTTTGTTCTATTGTTTTTATGATATTAAATGCCACATAACGAATAGATTTATAAAGGATAGATTTGGAATATTTTATTCTAAATAATTGTAATCGTGATGTGCAATCAATTTTAGAAATGGAGCAATTAAGCTAAAGAACATTTCAGAACAATTAAGCTAAAAGGGATATTTATGAAACGAATATTGCATCAGCAATATTGCATCAACATTTTTTCGTTGTCTCTGTTTAATGTAAAGCAGATGTTTCTTAGATATGATTAAAAATGACTTTTTTGAAGTTTAATATTATAAATGTATGGTAAAAGATAGTGATTTACATTTCTATATAAATATTTTCTTGGATATTTTCAATGAAAATTGCTTTGATAACACTCTAAAAAATATTATTCTTAGAGTGTTATCAAAGGATGTGTTATAAATTGATTTCCTTTTGTTTATAAATATTCTAAAACTTACTTTTAAGTAAATCAAACTGTCAGATAAGCTATTAAAATGACTATTGTTTTAAAATGATTTTTTCTAATTATTTTCAATTTCGGAAATACGTTAAAGGGATTCAAGTAATATAGTTTTGATTAAATATTTTACTGAAATAAATACTATGCAAAAATTACTGACAACCTTTTTTAATAAACTTCTATTTAACGAATGGAGTTTATTTTGTAAAATAAATAAATAAATAAATAATCTATGAATAATATCACGCAATGAGAAAAAACCATGATTTAGTAAAAGTTATACTAATCCATTGCTTATGAGAATACAAATTAAAAAAAAAAAAGAAAGTTTCACCACTGTCTTATTATTACAGAAGCATTTTTGTTTATGGAAAGCAAATACGTTTTTGTTTATTGAAAGCAAAATGTTTTTGACTTTCACTTTTTAATCAAATAAAATCATTAAAAATTCATAATTGCTTAAATGTAAAGAAAACTTATAAATACTATAAATGACTCTTAATTTTACGAAAAGATAATATTTATATAATGTATGTCAGGAAGTATAATTGCTTTAAATAAATGAAAATATTCTCCTCTCATTACATTATTAATCTTCTCATCTCAAATGTGAAGCTAGTAGTTATTTTAACGTCCACATTTTTAATTTAACTTACGAGTAAAGTGGACTTCGCACATATTCATATTGATATCATTAACATTTGAACAACAAATTGAGTATAACTAATAAGTTCTATTTTTATCAGCCATTACAAAAAGCCAACGATTTTTTGTAGGTTTCGGTTTTATAATTAGTACCTTGAGACTTGAAAAATTAATAATATTTGTCTCATAATTTACATTTTTAGAACTAAATAAATCTGGAAGCAGCATAATGAAAATCATCAAAATTTTCTGCATATTCTAAGCTTAACAATGCTAATATTATAGATATTTATTATAATAGATATTTATTATCATTGATAACACCTTTTGTGTTAGAGATGAAAATGAGCTAAGTTTATTATTTGGTATCATATTGAGTAAAATATATTTTTTAGGTAGTCTCAATATGACCGCTGCTTCTACAGCAGCTAGCAGCCTTCCTCCTGTACGGACATCTTGTCATGTACCACTTTCTCTGATGACATCAATAAGTGAAGAGACAATTGCACTTTGGTTGAAACTCGGTGCCTTAGAGAAGCTGGAGCAAGCTGTTTTAGATGGTTATGGTGATCAACTTTGCGGTAAAACTTCCAGAATCCCTCAGGTCAATAAATTCTTAAAACAAGTGCCACAATTTCAGGTAATTTCTTCGTTTAGTCTTCATATTAAATTAATTTTGTAAAATTACTTTAAAGCAAGATGGCACAAGTGGCTATGACAATAAGCTGACTATCTGTAGTTCTATGACAATGACTGGGATTTTATCCTCGGTAGAAGTTTAAAGTCAACCAAGATCGATAGTACAAGTATCAGACTTTCAGGAAAATAAAGACTGTCGGTGCACAGTTCTGACCAAATTGCCACCATCATGCCACTGGACTAGAAATTCAGGCGTCTTGACTTTCATGACTATTCCCCTTATTGGCTAATAAATGGATGTTGCTGGGTTGCTTTACTTTTTTAAAGTTATTTAAAAGTATTCAATATTAAAGGATTCTGACAATGACACTCGCCACTTGCAACTTTTAACTGTTAGATATTAAGCAAGCATCATGGAAATACTATTTGACTGTGTTTTAACATGCATAATGCAGACTTAATTTTTTATAAACAATTAGATTCGATTTCGGCTTTCAAATATAGTCAATCAAAATTAAATTTATTAAATACAGAATGATTACATTTAAAAAAAGCTTTAATGATGAATGTGTTAAGTGACATAAGAACACCTAATTCTAAAAGAAAAAGGAACTTTGATTTCTAGGTTTAAAAATATATAATGGAACTCTTTCTGTACCATATCGTAAAGTTTAATTTTCTTTTTTTGACAGTACTAAGGGAATAAATTATACCCAAGGGGTTAATATAGTTCAATTGCTCTTTTCCTCCGTCAAGAAGTTGCTATCTTCACGTCACCGAACTAAATATTTTCATTAAGGTTATTTTTTTAAACATTGTTGCGGTTAGAGAGCTTAGTACTGATTTTAAACAGTTATGTTAGGTTATGTTTAACATTCCTCATATTGGCTTCAACATATTTGGAAATATGTTTAGCGATGTTGCAGTATGGTGACTGATGTTAGAAACAGCTTCTTGCTGCTAATATACTGATTTTCAAAATATCACTAATATATAATTTAAGACAGTCATCTTTTAGATTTCTTAATTGCAAATAAAAATGAATATAAAATTTCGAAAAAAAGAAGTCAAAATTAGTTGCGCTGATACGCTAGTACAAAGCCCTCTAGCAATCATGATTTTAACATATAAAATAAGGCTTTCGTTTGAAGGTATTTGACAGTGAAAAATCATCTTGGTTATAGATTTGAACATCCAGTGTGCATAAACAGATACTGCCCGTAAAACATTCTAGTACGCTACAGTTATACAATAATAACGCAAATTAACGGAATTTTACAGTTTAACTTGGAGAACGGTCCTTGTCTATAAAATTTTATGGTAAATTGACGTAAAATTGTGCCTATTTTTTGAAAGTGTATGAGTTTACTCTCTGAGTAATGTTGGCTTACTGTTAACTTAGAATTTGGTGAATGACAGATTGAACGCCGTTTTGGAAGACAATACAAAGTTGATGAATGACTTCTTGTAATTCTCCTATAATTATAGAGTTTCCCCCCCCCCAGGATTTGTAATATGTAATTTTTGATATCTTAAGATTTTATAAGATGCTGTCGAATTTTTTTACTGCAGCTTCTAGTTTAGAATTTTTTAATCATATGTTTATTCCTGTTGTTTGCTAATATAATTTTCTTAAAAACTACAAAATATTTTCGCATTTTTGGAAATTTTAGAAACATATAATGTAATGTTTCAGGAAAATTACAAATTTCTTATATTGAAATTTAAGTCATCAATAAGTCTAAAAATTCAAATGATATATTTTAAACATTCATCTGAACTGCACAATTTGCATTCCATTCAAAAATTAAAAATCTACCCTGTTTTACCCCTTTACCCACAATACAAAAGCAACAATAAAATTAGAAAGAGAAGTATACCGTTCTTAGGAAAATCAAAACAACTTTAAAATATATCTTCATAGAAGATACAAATTAAAAAAAACTTAAAAAAGTTTTCTAACTGATTTATTTTGAATTCTATTTTAAGCACAATTTAATCGAAATTGAAACCTGTATACCCGTAAAAAACATTGTATAATGTAGTTTTTATGAACAAATAAGTTGAATTTGCTTCGACATCGATTTTTTTATTCTTTTAGTCCATAAATAGATAATTTAGAATTTTCCTTAACTTAATCAAATTGCTTTTTTGTTAGGATAATGTATCTTCGTTTTTCATTTTGTCAATAGAGTACCAAATAAATTAAAGCAGGAAAATGAACTCTATTATGGTTTGATAATTATCTTGAATGCTTCTTTTTACTCATGCATTAGCTTTTCAATACATTAATGGAAAAATGTTATTTGTTTTCTTAAAAACAATTTGAATTGTTATTGAAATAATTCTGAATTACTTTTACTTAATATAGATTTTCTCTTTGTATAGATAAAGTAATGCAAATTTTGTTTTTAACCAGATTTTGAATTAAATTTTGAGTTAAGAAATGCACTATTGAAAGTTAATTAGTTTTTCTGCATTAAAGAAAGGGAAAGAAAAGTTAAGTATGATAACTTTATAATAATTGTTGTGGTGTTTGTTTGATTCAGAAATAAATTTGTCAATGAAGGAATACTATTTGAGAAGAGTAAAATAATTTGAATTTGTGAGATATTTAATTTAGTTAAATATTTATTGCCTATTTTGATTCTGATTTTCATTAATAGTTTTGGAAAAAAGAAATGATAAAAACTATTTAGTATTTTTAAAGTGCCTTAAATTAAATAGTTGTATAAAGAGTATAAGATAAAGTGATGAGAAATTTCAAACCATTGACTTGCAGCTGGGATAAATTCATGGCAGAAAACTCATTTTTGTTGATTCAGCATTTTCATCACAAATTTATGTAGTTTTTGATAATGTCTCCCAAGTATTTTACGAAGTTCCTTCTTCACTCGTGCGTCATCTCTGTGCATTTCGGAATCTCACAATTTTTTATTTCAGTTTCAAACTGCTTGCACTTTATAATGGGAGGGTTCAGGGACTAGTGTTTCTGTTTATCAAGTAGTTTTCCCTGGGTCGATAACTGAGTATTTAGTAGCTAGCTCTGTTTTTTCCCTTCGTGTTGAATTCCTAAATCAATTATATAATAGATGTGTTGTGTTGGGGTCTAATTCATTTAATGAGCTCCCACGCAAAGTTAGTAATTTCCTCGATTAGATAAAAAACTCAGTCGGAGCTTTTATCAGGAAACCATTTTGTCAAAAAAGAAGACATTTACGTGAAATTCAAGCATTATTTTTTTTACAGTGTTTTGTAGTTCATTCCAGATATGATTACAGCATTTTCATTTCAGTTTTTGGGATTCTACAGTCTTTATTTGTAGATTTCCACTGGGTTTTAGAATTAATAAAAATTAACAAAAAGTATATATCATTCTATTTTGGTCTTATATCATAAACGTTACGAAAACTTTACATAAATAAAAATGTAATATATTCAGAAGAAATTATGAGAGCTAGTTAAAAAAATTTTTGAAGGAAAAAACACTTCCAAACAATTACAAGTGGGTGGGTAAGTTAATAAAAGTTCTTCATTGATTTCTTCTTTTGTTCTTTATATAAGTTCCAGTGTTATAGTTAATTGAGCTACAGCACAGCCACTGACATAAATGGTTCAGTTCTGAGGTTTGTGGTTTCAATCTTGAATGTAGCAGGAAAAATGATGTTTATAAGAAGTAATATGAACATGAATCTTGTTACTGGTGAATTTCTTCAAGTTGGTAATGTGTATTAAAGTCAAAAGAGAGGTGCCACAGTCTTGGCGTTGTCTGAGACCACTTTCAGAACTTAAAGCAGAACTTAAGCTCAGAACTTAAGCATAAGTTTTAAGAATATGTAACAAAAAGAATATAAATTTTTGAATAAACTACGTCTTTTTAAAACGGATACCCCTTAAATAATCAACAAGAATGAAGTGAAATTAGTGTAAGAAAAAAAGCTGTAAATCTAAGAAAATTAACAGGTCAATGACTTTCAGTTATTGATTTACACAGAAAGGAGTAAAAGTTTATCGTGTTTCTTTCATAATTGCTAGATTCATTTATGAGCATGAAATTTATCTCATTTGTGGGAATATGCGTTAATATTTAAAAAAAAGGGTGTGCGTGATGAATCAAAATCTACGAATAATCGAAGAGATCACGAAAAGAATGGCAACATTGCTTGATATTAATATAACATGTATATAGAGCTGAGTGCAAAGAGATTATTTTAAATATACAGCCAGATAAATTGAAATTTAATTTAATTAAATATTATAATTTGTAAAATAATGTCTTTTTTAAACTTTTTATAAAGGTATTTCCTCCTAATGTTGAAGCATGAGAGAATTTTACACTAATGTTTATATTGATATAATAAAGCATATTGACAAGATATATTGACATATTGCTATAATATATATACGTTAGCTTTCAAATGTTTATTTAATGTTGTGCTGTGTTCACAACAAAAAAAAAGCGAACACTTTAATAACTTTCGATCTAATGATTGTACTTTCATGCACTAGCATTCAATCTTAATGGTTACAAAGACTCAACTTCAAATGTGATAATGTGATAATCGTAGAAAAGAACAAAATGACCTGGTGGTGTTTGAACGGAAGGTCCCGAGGAGAAAAATAGGACTTATTAATGATAGAAGCGAAAGGAGAATAAGGAGAATTGAGAAAATCATAAAGGGCAAAAATATTGTTCGCTTTATCAAATCCCAGAGCTCATGGCTTAGACACACATAGAGGAAAGACATTAATTACAGCTAAAAAAATAATCCTCAACTGGACACCTATAGGAACGAGCCCCAGAGGCCGCCCAAGGAGAAGGTGGAAGGACGACGTTATTGACGACTTGGAAATAATGAAGATGCGTAGGTGAAGGGAGAAGTCAAAACAGAGGGCCGTATGGAATAGATTTGTAGAACAAGCCAGGGTACACCAAGGACTGTAGAGATATAGAAGAAGAAGAATGTGTATTCTTTCATTTGCTTAAAAAATACATATTAAGGAAGGTTATTACAGAATAATCTGTGAATTTTCTTGTATCTTCAGAACTTTAAGTAAGATCAAGATTTATGGGCAGTTTTAGTTTTATTTGTTAAAAAGTTTCAATAAAATGATGGCGTTTCGATGGAATTAATCAACGGAAATTAAAATTGAAAAAAAAAATGCATCGGATTCAAACTGGCGTTACTATTAAATTTTTGAACAAAGGATTAGAATCCGTATTTAAAGTGTTTTTACCAAGCTCCAATTTCGCGTGCATTTTCTGAAATTTGGTGAAATCAATACTTTCAGACATTTTTGATAATTTATCTGCAAAATTAATTCTAAACATTTTTTCGCAACATACTCGGATATTACCCAGAAAGCAATGAATTTTTGCCAACATAGCTGCTATTAAATAAATCTGAATTTATTAAGTGCTCTTTCGTGCGACACGAAAAATGATTGGTGCATTACGCAATATAAATTTCCAAGAATAGATTTTTTTTCTGGCATTGTAAAATAATAAAGAGAGGAAAGTTGGTAAGGAAATAATGCTATAAAAGTAATAATGTGCAATATAAAAATACTAGGTAAATTTAAAGATTCAATAATTAATATGATCAATGCTTTAGTACTTGTTGGCTTTTTTTTTGTAGTATAATAAATGCCAGATAATGTTTAAATTTAAAAAAGAGGTATCTTTTATTATTTAATACCAGAAAATTTACAAAATTTTGAATTTCTTTAAACCATTATCAATTTTTTAGGGGCCTGTGTATTATGAAATGGCAACAATAAATATTTTTTTATTTAGTATTTTCAAAAAATAATTTAAATACGCAATGTAATTTTTGTGGTCAGCAATCTAATATTTTGCTAAGAGTCTTTTTTGGTCTTTAAACATTGCTCTTTTAAGCAATATAATATATTTTAAAATACTTTCATATTCAATTTTTCATACAGATTTCATACAGACGTGTATTGAAAATGAAAGATTCTTTCGCAATGTATTTCCTGAGTTTTTGCAGGCTTAGATGGTACTTACAGGTTTTACGCGTCTAACCAATTTTACATTTTTTTAAACATTTATTTTTAATTTGAATAGAGTGAAAAAATTGATTACAACTTTTGGTGAGGAATTAACTTCAACTAGAAAATTGTTGAGTACTTTCCTATTTTTTTTACTTATTTATAGGGCAATCTCGGCATGAGATCAATCTACGATTGTTAGAACTTACGTTTGGATTTTAACTTGGGTAGCATCACTTTTCTGTTTTGAAGTATTTTTCAAGGGTGTTATAAGGCCAAACAAACAGATCAAAAGATATAGTGAAAATGATAATAGCATAAATCTTTTCTTTTTAAAAATATTAGACTTATGGGTTAAAAAAAAGGATATAATATAATATTACTGTCATTATCATATCAGCTGCTATTTTTCAAGTGCTATGACGAACGGGCAACTGAGTTTTTTCAACTGTTGTTTACTGCTAAAACTATGAAACTAATTAAAATAAAATAATTTTGTTCGCACTGAATAAGTTTTATAGCATTGTTGCCATTACCTTTTTTAAATTATCCAAATACAATGAAAATGTCATGTTTCAGATATAAACCCTTAAAATTTAGAGGGTATAAAAAACTTTTCCATTTCAGATTTCTTACCTTAAAGAACACTAGAATAACTCTATAAATTAAAAAGATTTTCTCATCTTAGATCTTAACTAGTAATTGTGATTGCTGTCACTTCAATACTTTAATTAAAAACAAATAATTTGATTATATTTATAATTCAATGCTGATATTTCAATGTTTTTGTTATTAAGTAAAATTAATTGTTTTTTTTTTATAGAATAAGATTCGAGAGATTCATTTAGCAGTTTCTCAAGGCAGGCTTAGAGATGTTCAACACCTGATTGACAGAAAAAAGCTAGCATTTTGCAGAGATCACAATGGTGCAAGTCCACTACACAAAGCGGTCATTTTTGGTCACCAAGATGTCATTGAATATTTAGTAAGGAGATATGGTGGCGTCATTCACATCAGAGACCACGTAAGTAATTAAGATATATTACTATGAAGACATTTAAAATTAAATAAGTTTTATAACAGTAAACAAATTAAACTTTTGTACCTTAAGCAACCGTCAACAAAGTCTTGTGAATTTTAACATGATTAACATATTTCTGGTCTGGTAACGACTGTCATTATGTTATTCAGAACTAGAAATAGCTGTTGTTTATGTGAAGACGGAATAGTTGTTAAGTTGGAAAAGTTATAGTTTTGGAACACTTGCGGAAAAAAACACGCGACAGATAACAGAGTGTTAAAAAATAATAATTGAACTTCGTGACTTGATTTGTTCAAAGCAACTAACATTGTTTTTTTTATTTAATCAATGTATCGTACCTCTTTTTTATGTAATAACATTTCGAAGGATGAGACTTATTTTTCCTCCTTAATTTAAGTACTATTATTATGTCTCACTTTAATATTTGTATTCTAAATGCTATTTTCTGTTTGGCTGCTCCACATATTTTTATATTGCCTTTTTAAACCATTTTTAATAGTTACACAAAGTTATAAAAATGATGATAAAAATGACTCTTATTTTTTTTTCGGGGTGGGGGGGGGTTAAAGAATCTAAGCTTTTCAAGACCTCTTCAATTAATACCATAAAAATAAATAAATGGATTCTTTTTTAAGGTGTTGTTTTTTCTGTATTTGATTGGTTAGCTATTTAGCTGGACAAGAACTGACAGAAAGTCTAAAACGATAAAAATATTTAGATATAAATCTTTCTGTAAGTGTCCCTCGCAAGATAGATGCTAAATTTCACGGAATCCTAAAATTAGGAAAGATCATATTTCACCGGTCAAATTTAAGACACGTCAGATGTCTACTTAGGAGTCTTGACAAAGCAGTTTGCTGGACTCGACCACTCTTAAGAGTAGTAGCATTTTCCGACTTCTTGCCATTAAACCACCAATCATAAACTGGATAACGACAGAAAGAGGCAATGGTAGATTTAACTTTTTATCTCCAAAAAAATCAGGATGCTAGTAGATAAATCTATTGAAGTTTTCTCCTGAACCAGGGCATCAGTCAATTCTGTACCTCCATAGTCAACATGAGAATGTACCTAAAGCAAATATTCAAGTCAGAAGAGCATTTTTTCTGAAGTGCTAGAGCAGAGATAGAGGCTCTGTCACCAATAAGGAACCAAATTTGTAGATGTAAGTGCTATAGATGTCAAAATACAGTGAAAAACAAAAATAGAATGACGGTCTGGGTTCTTAATCTTGCTAGTAATTTGTTTGACTTCTCTTTTTCATGCAAATTAGAAGCTATATAATAAAAGTTATATCGTAGTTTTAAAAGTATTTTTATTTTGAACGATACATGAGAGTAGAAATTGAAAAATCTCTTCGAATATGAGTCAAACGGGAAAACCAATCTTGTATTTAATAGATGTAGTAGTTTTGAATCTGGAAATTATCAACTATTGTACAATGTGTTCAATGTAGATAATAAAAACCTGAAAGAAACATTTTCTACTACATTAAAAGAAAAAAGGTAACTTTGAAAAATTAGTTCCTAGCAGGCAAAATTAGAAAATAATATACATGTATTTTTGTCGTTGCATTTTCAAATTCTTAAGACCGAATATTACTTCATTGTTGCTATTTCAGAAAAAAACTAAATTTATTTGGAAATATTGCTGGGTGATGATCATGAATAAAATTGTTTTTCCCCCATTCTAATACAAACCGAGGAAAAATAAGATAGTTTTCAAGAAGTCACCCTTATCTCAAAAGATACTGGTTTACTCTAATATTTTTCTCCGTCAGTTCTTTGAAGTTTTTTTTGTTTCTTTTTTAAAGCTAACTACCTCCTTTTTCATTCTCATTTCCAATTACTCCTTTTCTTATTTCCAATCTAAAAAGAAATAGTATTGTTCGCTATCAAACAAAGAAAAGTAAGACGCTTTCTTAAATTAAAAAAAAAAAAAATCGACACAAAAAAGCACTGTTATTCAAGCTTCGAGTTTCTAGTAAACGCGTTTAAATTCTTGACTCTAGTGAGAAGATTCTGGAAATAGAATAATTTTCTCTTAAAAATAATACGTACCTTATTATTATAGAGAAGTGGTGCGAAGTCATTTATCCTAGAATTAATTATAATTGGATAAAAATATTTTTTTTGAAAAAAGATTGCTGGTTATTAGACGTTTTTAGATTTTATTATGAAAGAAGTCATAATAATTGGATTAAGAATTTAAAAAAATAGTCCTCCTACCGTTTAAAAGACTTCTGTCTAGACAAAATCCATAGTGCACTTAACAGCAAAAAGATGAATAAAATAATAATGATTATTGTAGCCAATTATAAATTATCACCAGTTTGAGCATTAATTTAATCTGTTGTGGTCATCATGTAAATAAGTTTCACGGATATAGATAATAAATAAATCCATTTTTATTCCTTAGTGAACAAAATTTTTTTTTGTAGAAATAATTTAAATTAAAGAATTCGTGAGAAATCTAAATCATTTTCCAGAGGTGTGTGTGTGTGTGTGTGCGTGTGTGTGTGCGTGTATGCGCGCGCGTGTGTGTGTGAGAGAGAGAGAGAGGGAGAGGGAGAGGGAGAGAGAGTGAGGGAGAGAGTGAGGGAGAGAGAGAGAGTAAGGTGCGATGCAAAGACGTATCTCTAATTATTAATAATGTGTGCATAACTCTGCACAGCGGAGTAAAATTTTATCGTGCATTAATGTAATTAATAAAATGTATAATTGTGCTCAATTAATTTACGTTGTGGCTTTAAAGTAAGCCTATTCGTTAATTCGTTAATGGCTTTAAAGTAAGCCTAATCATTCGATTTCCCGCATTCTTCTTCGGATACTAAACAGTTACTGAACTTTTTCAAATTATTTTATTGTTAACTAGAGCTTTGTTAGAAAATCTAAATATCCAATTAATTTTAAAAAAATGAAAATTGTAGTTGAAAAAAAAAGATCAATATTATGATTTCATGTGAAAAATAATTTAAGTATGGAGTATAAAACATATTATAAATAAATAATTCAAAAAATAGAGAAAAAATTGGTATTAAAAATGATTTTATGCACTATTAGTTAAAAAGAAGATGAAAAAAATAACATTTGATTAATATTGTGAGGAAAAAAGAAATGTAAAACAACCAGAATATGGTAAAATGTAACGTATTTCTGGCTCTATGGGAACTTACTTAAAAAAACTCGGTAATTTTTACCGAAGAGCTTTGGTAATGATTTTGGTAAAATTAAAAGTATGATTTTATAACGTGTGATAAAATTTGGAAAGTATGATAATTTTATCATAATGTTTTAGAGCACAGCATAAAACTATTTATTCTTTTAAAATCATTTCTCAGTTTTTTATTTTTTAATAAATGTGTGGTAATAAGAGCTATAATTCTTAAAACCAGAATTTACGGTAAACCGTTACCATATAAGAATGAAAAAATTATGAAATAAAGGGTTTAAATACTGTATATTTAGGTTTTATTGAGCTTAATTCTGTTTTATTTTTCTTTACCAGAAATCTTATTACCATGCAGTACGGTACCTGAATATTTTTGTCTGTGTACGTATTCTCTGGTATTTAAATTTCTTTTACTTTTTCATGTCATATTTTGTTTTATGGGAAACAAGAACGAAATTTATGTCAAAAGTAGAAGAACATCACATACATTTTAACTTGACCTCTTATGGTCAAATACAATAGACATAAAAATTAAAAATATGATAATAATCACATATCTGGACCTATTCACGAAATATTTCGCTCTTTTACATAGATGTTATTGCCACTATTTTAAAAATAGCATCTATGCTCAACGATTAAAATGTTAACAGACATACTTTGGATCATCAAACGCGATAATGAAACCATAGTTTTTAGTTTTATGAGTCTTAACCATAACTGGAAAAATTGATATTTTAGAAAATAATATGAGTTTTCTGGAAAAAAAATTTACATACAAAAATTACTTATAAATGAATCATCCCCTTTTCAATCTTAGTACATTGAATACTGCATCCAACTTTATTTTGTTATTGCAAAACATTATTATTGTATTTTCTTATTTATTGCAAAACATGCAGGCCTCATCATTTTCTTCTTCATCTTTCGTTTCCTTATCTTTGATTTTTCACTTTGGAAAGTGTTTCGCAAGCTTTACCAATCTACCCCTAAGATAGAGTATTGATCCTTCTGTATTTTTGAAGATAAAAAAATATCCCGTATTCTTTAAAAAAGGAAATTTTCATGTTTTCTAAACATATTTTCTGCATCATGGTTTATAGTATGTTCTAAAAAATGCAGTTGAAGAACTATTTTAATCTTCATTAAATCAAAACAACACTTCAGATTTGATATTAAGCATTTTCTTTTACTTTAATGATGACGTGAACAAGACAACTAACGCTTCCTTCCTTTTCTCTTTTCGAAAATTCCCTGTAAATTAGAATTTCATAAAAAATAAAAATAATTAGCAGACCAACATGTTAGTTAATACTCAATGAATTTTATCCCTTCTACGTATTATTGAGCAAACACTCCAAATTATTTTATGAACATCAAATCATTTTAATCACATCTACTTTTCAAATAACTTTGTTTATTTGCTGTAATTTTGTTTGCTCATGATTAAATTTAGATAGTTAAGACACAGTTGAATAAGTTGCTGTTTCGCAAAGTAAATCTGTTTATAACATTAGCATATTAAAGAAAGTATTTTTTCTCTATTTCACACAACTGCTCTAATTATTAACACTAGAAAGTCTGAAACTTCGTAAATATCTATATTGCCCCAAAGCAGTCAAAATGACAGGATTGCAAAAGAAAAAAATAATGTGCAAAGAAATTTGTTTAAAATTAATTTTTAATATTTTTTATATTATTAGCAGTACTATAATAAGCTATTAGTAAATATTAACAATAAAAAAATTATATATTGTACACAATTCTAAGAAATTGTGTCATTATATGCATCATTGTTTTTCTAATTAAAA